TTCTTGCCTCGGCTTTTCTCGTCCGACTTTCCTGGAAGGCCGGTGAGAATGCCTTCCGCTTCTGATATGCTGAGGGACTTCGGGGATTGTTTTTCTTCCATCCTTCTAAGTGTTGTTCGCCGGCATCGGCGTATCTTGCAGCGGGTATGGTGGCTGCATAACATTATTCTACATCATGAAGTTGACGACTGACTGGAGGTCCGCCAACTTGTTTGCTAGTTCTTTTACTTCCTCATCCCTCCGTAGGCACCTGTCCCTCCATACCTGGAGGTTATCTTCATTGTAGTATTTTCCTTGGTTTGCTCTTTTTGACGCGTCGCCTTCTGGGATGACGTCGTTCTCTCTGTGACCCTGGTCACGGGCTCCTGCATTGTGGTTATCTCCTTCGATGTCAAGGTCAATTTGTCTGCCACTCCCAGTGGGAGCGTCATCCCCAATATTTTCCTGCTGTCCGCTACTGGCCATCTATTCTTCCTTCGTTCCCACAGACGGCAGTGATTACACTCCGTTTGGATGCAATGGTTTGTTAACAAAAAAATTGGTGAGAACATAAATTTGGTTAAGTGAGGGGTAGAAAAACACCACCGTTAAAACGGTAGTGATTGAGAGCTCTAGTAGAGCTGCTCTAATAACAGTTCTACTGAGTTGATAATTTCTTTTAAAAATTAAAAAAGAACAAAGAAAACAAAATAAAGGAAAGAAAAAGGTAATTTAATGCCAATTTAAAACTATATTTTTGGAGCTCCAAAGCAATTTCCTCGTTAAAATTATGTTTTGTTTCTCATAAAATGGTGAGATTAGATAAAAAAGAAATAGATTTAATGATTTTTTTTAAATATTAAAATTATTCTATAATAGAATAAGTTGAAAAAATAATTTATTAATATAGGAAGTTATTTTCGTAAAATAAAATAAAATAAAATATTTTTCTTTTCTTTTATTCTTTTCTCTTGTGTATTCTATTCAAATAAAATATAAATAAAAAATCATATTCACTATGCTTGGTTTCCCTTTTCAAAAAATATTTTTTAGAAAATTCTACTTTCTTATTTTCCGTATTTTTTTTGTTTTTACTGATTTCTTTAATATTTTAAGCAATTTTTAAAATTTTTAGACATACCAACTTATATGTATCTAAAAAGTAAAAAATTTGTGAAGAAAATCTTTTAAAAATTCACTAAATACCCAAAATACAAAAAAAAATATAAGAATTCAGTATATTTTTTGTATTTTTATGTATTTATTAATTTTTCAAAATATTTTTTCACAAATTTTTTATTTTTTAGATACATCTAAGAAAAATACATCTAAAAAAAATATTTAAAATTTTAAAAATATTCACTAAAAACAAAAAAATACAAAAATCAAAAAACTTAATTTTTAAAAAACTTAATTAAAAAAACTCAAACCAAACACATTGATTATCTTCTTTTTTATTCATTAAAATACAATGGTGAGAAACAAGGCTTTGGGGACAAGCCAAGTAAGCGATCACTTTGGGCCTCCAAAAATTGATTAAAAAAAATATTATTATAAAATTTCAGCCATTATACTTGTTCATAAAAAAATTACATCTTAAAAATAAATAAAAAAGCTAATTGATGTAATGAACTATTTAAAATTAATGAATGATTGTTTCTCAAATATATGAATTATGTATAGATTGATCACATTTGTTAAAATTGCTTCTGCAAAAGAAACTTTTCAAAGTTGAAATTGATTATATCTTATATTAAGTTAACTATGTAACGAGCAAAATTAAATGGATTTAATTGACAAATTGGATAAAACAAGCTTGATTAGTAATTTTGTAACTAATGTGAAAATTATCATGTTGAAGTATTTTTTATTTAGGATGCTAGCTTTGATTACTTTTATCCTTAATCGTAATATATATTTGAATGATAGTAATCTTGGAAGAGAATGAGAACATGATTTTAGATCTTCATGACTCTAACATCTGAGGAATTATATTTTTTTTAAAAGCATATCATGACAATCACATACTCATTCACAATAGTTGGCTTATTCACACAGCTAATAATTTGAGTTTTATACACATTCTTATGAAAGTTCAAAATTTATATAGTAAATAAAATTAAATTATTAACTAGTCCAGTTTTGATTAAAAAATATTCAAAATCGGTTCATATTAGAAGCTTGTTTTGGAACTTTTTTTTTTAATACGTATAAAAGCCCCATATTAAAAGCTTACTTTGAATCCTGGAACTAAATTTTTTCGAATTGATTGATTGGCATTTGTTTATTGAAATCAATATCTTATTTTGCAGGAGTCTGTAGGACCATCCATTGAAGAAAATGAACTAAACAGAGGACAGAATACACCAGAAGATGAAATTGCATTGTCTGATCTCTTGAATTTAGAAATAACATGGCCAGCTAAGCCTGAGTCAGAAAAAAACGAGCATAGTCTTACAAACAGTGCACAACTGCAGAGCAAAAGTTCTTTAAACTTGGCTGGAGTTGACTTGGATAACTTTTTCACTGAATCAAAGAGGGACTTTGTTTCTAATGCATTGGAAGAACAGCCAGAAATTAACAAGCAGAGTGAGAATGTAGATATGAATGCATTTGCCAGCCAAGAAAATTTTAGCTTATTTCAGAACGTTCAGCATTCCGAGACACCAGTCAGCGCTTCTGAAGTAAAGCATGATGACGGGTTCTCTGGTTGGAAGGCTGATTTTCAGTCTGCTGATTCTGGAAATCAGCACGAGGGCACAAGATCATTTGACCCTTATGTAGGATCTACAGTTGATCTTTCTGCTCACATGGATTCTGTCTTTGGACCTGGAAAAGACGTAGCAGATGAAAAACCAGCCTCAAACCCTTCAGCTTTAGGAACTTATGATTGGATTCAAGGTGAGCTGTGGAATAATTCTGACTTCTTGGCATCTCCCCAGGCTGACAAGGTTGATGAAACCATCAAAAGTAAGGACAACATAACAGCAGATAATTTGTACAATAATTCTTCTACAAGTTTTGATTGGTTTCCAGATGATCAATGCCTAACCAGTAGCATGATTGAGCCCGACAATAAGACAATCAGTGATGATGATTGTGAAATAAATTGAAAGAGAGTTGAGAGAGTGATATTGACAGAGAATTATCTGTTATTCATTCTGTAATAAGAAACCAATTCGATGCTCCATAATATAGGAGCTGGATTACAAACATCATAATGATGTGTTTCATTAAAATAAAGAAAAGGAGCCGAAAGAAGGGATCGGCCGAAAGCAGCCGAAAGTTATATACTTATTATATACATATTATACTATACATATTAATATATTATATCTATTAGATACAGACTATACTATTTAATAATGATATTACTATACTATTCTATTTAATAATATATTAATATGTTTAACAGCCCCCCGCAAACTCAAGGAGGGCAAACATCAGCCAACTGGAGTTTGGAGACAAGTTCAATGAAGCGGCCAGGAGAATGAGCTTTGGTGAAGAGATCAGCAGGTTGATCAGTAGAGGAGATTGGATGGAGATGGACAGTACCACGAGTGACGTGTTGACGAATAAAATGACAGTCAATCTCAATGTGCTTGGTGCGATCATGAAAAACATCATTGTGAGCAATTTGAAGAGCGCTTTGATTGTCACAAAAGAGGGCAGTAGCACCAGAGGGGGAAACACCCATGTCAGCAAGAAGCCAACGAAGCTAGAGAAGCTCCTGAGTAGTATCAGCAAGAGCACGATATTCGGCCTCGGTACTGGAGCGAGCAGTAAGAGATTGTTTCTTGCTGTGCCAAGAAATAAGAGAATCACGCAAGAAAAAGCAGAACCCAGTAGTAGAGTGGCGTTCAGTAGGATCCCTAGCCTAATCAGTATCGGAAAAAGCACGAAGTTGGAGAGAGGAGCGGGCGGAATAATGAAGTCCATGAAACAAGGTACCTTTGAGATAACGAAGGATACGGACTAATGCAGCATAGTGAGAGGTACGAGGAGCTGACATAAACTGGCTGACAATATGAACGGCATAGGCAATATCAGGACGAGTAACAGTGAGATAGACAAGGCTGCCAACCAGCTGACGATATAGGGTAGCATCAAAGAGAAGAGTGCTATCAAGAGGTGTAAGACGACTCTGAGGCTCCAGCGGAGTGGAGGCAGTCTTGCAATCCGTAAGACCAGCGCGAGTGAGAAGATCAGAGGTATACTTAGCCTGAGAGAGAAAAGACCCCGTGGAATCATGGAAGATTTCAAGACCCAAGAAATAGCTGAGAGGACCAAGGTCTTTCATCTCGAAATAATGGCTAAGAAACTGTTTAAGGCAAAGAATACCATCAAGATCGTCACCGGTGATAATCATATCATCCACATAAAGGAGAAGCAAGGTGGTCCCTTGAGCAGTGTTCCGGATAAAAAGAGCAGTATCATAAGAACTGGAGGTGAAACCACAGTCATAAGTAGTAGAGCTGAACTTGGCAAACCAAGCGCGCGGAGCTTGTTTGAGACCATATAAAGCACGCTGAAGTTTGCAGACTTTAGGAGGTGGATAAGTAGACCCAGGAGGAGGTTGCATGTAGACCTCCTCAAGAAGAACACCATTAAGGAAAGCATTTTTCACGTCCATTTGATAAAGATCCCAGTGTCGAGAGGTAGCAACCGCAATCAGGCTGCGAACAGAGGTGAGACGAGCAAAGTCGATATACCACTGAGATTAAAAATCGCACGAGTATCGGCCGAGTCCCGGTACGTATCGGCCTGTAAGCGTTACACAAGCCGTTACACAAGCCGCGACAGGCCGATACTCACCGGTTCAGACCGGTACGGGAAAGAAAAAGTTGAAAAACCTTTGAAATGATTTTTAAAATTTCACCACCGCGACACCCGATTCCCGATACGTACCGATCGATACTACCGATACCGATACTCCGCGATCGATACCGTTACGTTACCCGATACCGCGATTTAGAACCTTGAAGTGTAGCCATGTTGTGTATGTACATACCAGATAAGACCGGTTGAAGACTGTTTAAAAGAACAGTGACTCCGAGCAAGGTGGCAAGCTTGGTAGTTTCTTCAGCAACTGCAGTGCTATTTGTGAAAAGGTATGGGAAATAATCCCGAATTCTCAGCGAGATACGCAATGAACCTTTCGTTCGATGGCCAGCTAAGTTGGGAGAAGTACAAAAAGTCTATGACGAGAGGTCCCAATGCACCTTCCATGATGAAAATGGGCACCGCACTGAAAATTGCATGCCCTTGAGGCAACATCTGGAGGAATTAGTGGCAGCTGGGCACCTGGACCAGTATATAGAAGGAGGAACACAGCCAACCCCCAGAACCTCAACAAACCGAACGGGATGCCAGTTGACGGTCCACCCCAAGGCGTAATCAACATCATACATGGGATCATTGAACCTGAGCGGGTATGTGAACTCAGGGGGATGATTAAAAAGGCTGAACACTTGAGAGAGGTATTAAGTGCACAGCCTACAATAAAAAATGGCAGAAAAAGACCGAACAGTAATGATGGCCATCAGTCAGTAAACAGTAGTGGTTCCACAAGGGAACCGACAGAGGATTCTGTCGCAGTAACAGTAATAGTAAACAGTAGGTACTAAGGATGCCACAGTACAGTTCAGAAATCAAGGACATACATTCATTCAGTAATACCAGTTCAGTAAACAGTTCAGTTCAGTATTCAAAAGATATCAGTTGAACATATCTTTACACAATTGTTACTCACAGAGTTTGGGCTACGGTATGCTAGAGCGTGTCTCCCCAGTTGCCAACCCTACACAGTTCACAGGTTGAACACACACTAAGCTACATAGTTGGGAAATATCATAACTTAATCCCTAATTTGCCTTGGTGTGTTCTACAACGATATCCTCATCTAAATGTCTTAAACTAGGCCTAAGAATGCCTAGGATGGGATGAGGATGCAAAAATACACTTAGAAAACATTTTCAGGATTTTCAGAGAAACAGAGTCCCGCTCGAGCGTAGGTTTCCCTGCTCGAGCGTACAGGCAAACGAAGGTACACGCTCGAGCGTAAACTTTCCCGCTCGAGCGTACTGTAAAGGTACTGGATGGGTGAAATCCCCGCTCGACGCCCGCTCGAGCTTGGGACATGACTCCGCTCGAGCGCCCAATCCTCCGCTCGAGCGGACTGTAAAATAGTGCAAGATGCTGGAAGCTCGATTTTCCCGCTCGAGCGGCACTTCCCCCGCTCGAGCGGACGACTGAAATCTGGAAATCCCAGATTCGAGCTCCTGGTCCAAAACCAAGCTCAAAAGCATCAACACCAATCCTCTTGGGCCCATTTTCTGGAAAACATTTATAAACACATAGAATACCATGTTTCAAAGCTCAATTTTAAGAAATCAAAGCCCAAGGGCGTTTAATTCAAACTCAATTTAAACCATTTTTTCCCAGCACACGATGAACATGCAAACATGCATGAATTCAAACCATTTCAAAGCTTCGATTTGATGCTCTAAAGAGCCAATTCTTTTCAAAACATGATGAAATCATGGACTACACTCAAGACATGAACATGCATTTAACATTTTGCCATGAACTCAACTCAAAATCCCACAATACTAACATGCATGCAAAGATTGAGCTTCAATCCACCATTAATGAACTAAATCAGGACTTAGCTCTACAAATTAACATGAACCATGCAAGAATCAACTCAAAACATGAACAAGAAGACAATGGAGCTACCTTTAGTCTTGTATTTAGGATAGGGAAGCTCAAATGTACAAAAACTCCTTCAATTCTTCAAGATTCTCAAGCTAACACAACAAGAACAATTCTCTCTCTCTCTCTAACTCTCTTCTAGGTCGGTTAGAGGCAACACAAGGACTGATGAAAATGTGTTATGTGAGTGTAATGAGAATCAAAGATGACTCAAGTAGTGGGCCGCTCATGTGGCAAAACGGTAAATAAGTCCAACTCTTTTATTAGCTTATTTTAATCTAATTTAATCATACCTAATCAGTTTTCAGATAAATATTCCATAAAATCACGTTAATTCTAAGGATCATAGAACACTAATTGGTTTCTAATTCGGCCGCCGATAAGGCCTTCAATTAGCAGTTTAAACATATAAACATGAACAGATAATCAGACAATCAAACAGATAGAATGCAATTAACTAACATATACTCAGTCAATTCAGTTTCCAATTTCAGTCAGTCAGTTCAGTACTTTAATCAGTTCAATTATCATTTAGTTATCAGTCATCATCAGTTCCGTTTAGCAGTAATCGGTGATTATTGGTAATCAAGCAGTCATTAATCGGTAAACAGTATGGGGGTTGTTACAAGAAGGTTGGGTTACCCGGTGTGGTC